AGCTGTTTCCTCCAGATCTACCCCACTTTCTTCCTCCCACCTCTCACTCCCTCTCAAAAGGCTTCTCAGTGAGGCATATTTCAGTTTCACTTCTAAGAAGTAGGAGCTTCTTAGTTGATGGTCAGGTCTATAATCGTTAAATAGAAAAGGATCTCATATCTGACCAGGTGAACTGAGAACTTAAATCTAGAGAACTCAGGTTAAAGCTGATTCACCCTTTACCTATAGTAGACTACTATGATAATTACCTTTCTTCCCAGTTGCCGGCAAGTATGGTGGCCTTGCTTCATTTTTGACTGAACATGGGAGACCAATTTCAACTGGACCTTCTCGAAAGATGTGTTCTGAATCTCTCAAGGAGCGAGCCTAAATTACAAACAGAGAGTCTAATCACCCACCCACTGCGCATGGGCTAGATCAGTCTGCTGTCAAAGAGAACAAAAACCATTTAAAACTCCTAAATGCACAGGACAACAAAAGTTCCTCTTCAACACTTTTTTAGGATTCCTTACCTTGCAAGGGTCTACGGTATTTGGTGCACCAGCAGAATGTACTTAGCTCCTTCTCTCTGTTCTGGCGCCTATCTGGAATCTCCCATGCTGTCTACATCCCTCCATGGCCAATAAGCACAGGTCAATGGAAAAGTACTTTACAGGAACAGTGCCAAATCTTAAAGAAGATTTATTTTTATATATGAGAGTTCAGCAAATGCTAAGGTATAAATGGAAAGGCAAACACTTCCATGGATTCTTGTTCTGAGAGTATTATAGTGACGAATTTACTAGAGTTAATAAATATTTTCCCTGGGTATTACATAGCTGTAATGTATAGGTATAAAGCTGGGGGTAAATCTTCAATAATTTTAATGAATTTATGACCTTACAAAGATCCACACACTAGACATGCATTAAGTAAATAAAAATCTGAAAGGCAGCGGCATGAATATGAAGATGAAAGATAAGTGCAAGGTAAATGCTTGGAAATACATCCCAGGCAGTTCTACAGGGCTGCTGCATGTCAGGGTGAGGACCTTGGTGGACATGGGGTAAGGGGTTTGTCCACTCAAGGCCCTCCCTACCTGCTGGGTGCTTTCGATCATCGCTAGCGCTTCAGCCATTAGCTTCTGGTTTATACCGCAGAGGTTGGCAACCTTTGTCTGGCACCGGTGATGGACGTTCATGCCACATGCTGAAAGGAAGAAAGTGGACGGTGAGCAGTGGGGAGAGTACCCACTGGTGCTGGGAAATCACTCTCTTGACATAGACTCAGAGCCTTACTGCTACAGAGGAAAGCCTGAGGTCGCCGTGCCCCTGGCTTTGGCCGTGACTGGGTGGAACAGAGGAGGTTGCTTCTCCCCGGTGGCAGGACAAATTGTTGGAACAGAGGAGTGTGATCTCACACTCCAGTCTGGAGCCTTTGTGCATTTTCCCAACTGGACTGTAGGGACTTCTCTATCCTCTAGGCTGAAGCCCCGGCTGCACCTTCTGCCTGGGAGCTGGAACTGAGAGGGAGGAAATGTGTGTGTGTGTGTGTGTGTGTGTGTTTAGGGATGCAAGTTGGAGAAGGAAGAGTGGCTCTGTGCCATGCTCTCACTCTGGGGACAGATGCAGCTAATAAACTATAAGAATTGATGATGATGGGGCCATGACATAGGACACAGCTCTGAGCCCTGGCTGGAGGGGGCTGTCAGCATAGCTGTGTCTCCTGCAGACAGAACCGACAGCATAGGTGGGTTGGGACCCAATGGACTTCTGGGCACTCCCAGAAAAACACAGATATTTTACTTATTTCTAAAATTCATCTGAATCTATTGAAGTGATATATTTCCTTTTGAACAAAGAAGAACAGAAACAGTGGGGAACATATAAGTCTCAAGATCCTTTTGCTCTTCATCTTACTGCCTGGAGACACTGTAGAGCTGTTTCCCATGTGAAGACGGTCACACTTCCTTAGGCAGCTACACTGTGACCTTGCCAGAACTTGTCAATGGTGCTTAACAAAGCCACCTACCGTTCTTATCCCCTGTCCCCTTCAGCCATGCCATGCACATCCTCCTCACGGTCCTATCCTTGGGATATAACTCTCCTAAAATTCATGAACATCTCTACTTTGATTGACAGGTGATCTTCTATTCTTGTTAAGAAAACGCTACCACACTTCTCATGGCCAGGGGAAGAAAACCTAGTGCTTGCAGCTGTCAGAAGCGATCAAGACCTAGTTAAAAGAAACCAACCAACAGACCTCTCCAGCATTATCGTTACACTTTTTAATTGCAGCAAGCAAGCTTTTGAAATATTATTTTGGTTTTCCACCCTGGTTCCTCTCCTTGGTTGTCTCACATGTGAGTGGATGGAAAGTGAAGGCTCCTAGCTAGCGATCCACGAGAAGGAAATAACTGGGAAGGTTTCGAGAGTGGGAGAGGAAAGAGATTCCAGTAGGGAGATGTCTCCTCACCTCAGTGACCCTCACAAGGGGGGAGCAAGTGATTGCAGATCTGGGAGCAAAGGGATGTTCGTTACTTGCAGTGCCAGGAGAGGTCACAGCAGAGTGCATCTACAGAGGCTGGATCCAGGCCTTAAGACCTCACCTCAGCTTCGGCAAAATCACAAAGTCACCAGGTGGAGCAAAACCAGCAATCCTCACAATGGGTTTGGATGTGACACCAACAGGACCTGACAGCAGGGTATTAAAAGATATTACCCTGTTTTCAGGACCCCTACATACGTTCATCTCCAAATCTTGTGTGATTACCGGAAGGATGGAGGGCCACTGCAATTACTAGTGTCCCACTTAAGTGCATTTGAAGATCATAAAGAAAGTAGTATTTCTTGTACATACGAGCTATCAGCTTAAATGTGCATTTATGGCATAAAGACAGAAAGGAACTCAGAGAAAAGAAACCAATTTGTTTTCTTTCACTGTTGTATGTCATGACATTATTTTTTTTTTTTCCTAAGAAAAAGAGAAGTAGGAAATATTCAAGAACTTGTAGGGGAGGAGAACACATACTGGCCATAGGTAACACAGGGATCTGACCCTGCATGACCTTGCACAAGTCCCAAGGGCTTCTGAGGAGGGTCCCAGCCCTGCACTGTTGCTCTGTACAGACTCCGTGTGTACTTGGAATCACGAGTCCTGAAAGCAGCGCTGTTATGGCTTATATCTAGATGTCACCCCAAAAGCCTCATGGGCTCATAGGTGAGGGTTTGGGGAGGTGATTGGATCATGGGCTTGTGATACTCATCAGTGGGCTACTCCACTAATGAGTTTATAGCTAAAGGTGATGTAGGTGGTGAAGCCTGATTGGAGGAGGTGAGTCACTGGAGGTGTGGCCTGGAAGGGTCTCTCCCCTCCTTCCTCCCTTGATTGCTCCATGCTATGAGCTGTTTCTCCTCCGCCATGCCCCTCTGCTTCTGAGCCAGCTGACTATGGACTGAAAGCCCTGCAAACTGTGAGCCAAAATAAAGCTTTCTTTACTTTGTGGGTGTCAGGTATTGCGTCTCAGTAACGAGAAAGTAACTAACATCGAGTGCCATAAAGTTCTACTTCTGCTTCTTGTGACCAAGGGATTTTTCTTGGATTGAGAGGGAAGGGAGTATGCCTGTGCATTTGTGTAAAGACAACTGTTACATTATGCTACAGGTTTTAGAAAACCCAAGCTTTGCTTTTGAAATGTCACTATCAAAAAGAAAAAATAACATAAAGATTTCCAAACTCTAGCTGATAGAACTCTAGTCTTAGCCCTACTTGTTTCCACAGAAGTATGTAAGTAGGGTTGTTATAATAGAATTAGTAGGACCTATGAAATCATGCAACCTTTAATTTCATCTGCTTATTAGCACATTTGTGTGCAAAGAGTTTAGCACACTGAGCATTACAGAGTAAGTACCTGTTTATCAACTACAACTTCTCATTCATCTTGATGGGTTATTGCACTGATATAATATCCAGGTGAAATCCTGGCATCACTCACCTTTGGTTTTTACCTAGCTCACATGTCCTCAGATAGTTCAACATAAAATACCACATTTTCTATGTAAATAACTATATTACTCTTTCCTATATATGCATAGATATAGCCACAAAAATCCACCTGAAGCAAAATATTTTCTGTCTACTTAAAATGTTTAGTATAGTAAGGGTGGTTTTGATAATGGTGCTTAGAATTCTGCATGGTCAGCATGACCGCCATTGGGTTTGTTTAGCAGGTGTTAGGTTTTGATGTGGGCGGCCGGAGCCACATTTTCTTACTTATCCCCGCAATGTAAATGAGACACTTATTGCGAATTTGGTGCAACAGAATTGGTATTATACTTTGCTCCATGAAACTGTAGCTAGCTCTATGCTTGTTTCAGATGAGCACTGGACTAAAGAAAGGCCACCATTCCCACTGCAATACCGTAACTCTCTGACACTAACCTATCAGGCGGCAACTGGATCTCTGTGAGTGTAAAGGGTCCCTTTTGATGACTATTTTCATGGGAATTATTATAGAGGGAAGGAGGGAGGGTGAGAGAGAGAAGGAAAAGAGACGAGAAGGGAAAGGAAGAGAGAGAGAGAGAGAGAGAGAGAGAGAGAGAGAGAGAGAGAGAGAGAGAGAGGGCAAAGAAGACAGGATAAAGGCTGATGGGGACCTTACTTAAGAAGATGATTTACAAGGAGGTAGGACAAGAGTGAGACAAAACAAAGGACAGAGAGAACTAGAGAAGAGAAAAATCAAACGTTGAGGATGAAGGTATGTGGAGATGAACAGAGTGGAGGAATCAGGGAAGTTTGGGGGGTTACAGAGTTAAATATGGAAAATGAAATAGAGAAGGGAAAGGAGGGGAGGAAAAGGGGAAAGGGATGGGGACAAAAGAAAAGAGGGAAGGGAGTTCTTGAAGTAGGTAGGAGAGAGGGGGGAAGGAATGGAAGGGAAGGGAAAGAATGTTAGAAAGAATGGAACAAAGCAGCGTATGTGAGTGTGAAATAATGCCAAGGATTCTTTGGGGAAGTTCTAATCTTGCTAGTCATGCTACTAAGACCAGCTCTGCCTTAGCAAGTGGGCACTTAAGCTCTCTGGAAATGACACCTGGCCTTAAGACCATCACAGGAGTACACAGATGGTGAGAATTTATTCGTATTTCTATTTATACAATTAGAATACTGAGAATGTTTTGGCCTATGAACTCTTCTGATACACTACATCACACCCTGCATATCAATGTATTTTTGAGCAGGTGTACAGAGAAAACCTTGTTAGTGGTACTTTGGGGATGTGAAGGGATTCACAAGATTCACTTTGACTACCTATGGTACCTTGGGGGATGCTTTGGAAACCTAACCCTTCCTGCCTCCATAAGATTTCACCTTAGATTCCATGGGGCACATAAATACCGCGGGGCTGCAGAAGATTGCCTTTCCTCTCTGGCACCTAAAAGGGAAGAAATATTTAGCCCATGGTATTTTAATTAAGGTAGGGCTGGAAGGAAAAATCAAAGGGATAATCCATGTAAGAGTCCACCATAAAAGGGAAGCCTCCTGTGACCATGTTATCAGGCCCTGCCCCTCCCTTGGTGGCACTCAGAGAGCAGAGTGCTTTGTCAAGTCTCCTCGGGATTTTTCCTCCCTGTTCCCTAATCCTGGCACAACAGCATCACAGTTTCTAAAGGTTATTGCCTTAGCAACTCAGAGTTTTAAAGCCAGAATGCCTTGTTTTGTTTTTTGGGGGGTAGGCCTGAGTAACTCCATCAGCAGGGAATGACAGGCTTGCGCTCTGCTCTGATGCCAGCCCTGGGGGAAGACCAGACAAGGAAGAAGTGTGGTCAGCGCTGAACTTGGCTTCTCACTGGGGGTGGGCTGCTCCTTGAGGAGATGAGGAGAGACTCTTACTAGCTGGTGCAGAGGAGAAGCCTGGGGCACTGCACAGCTAGACTTGCTGGAGTTAGGAAGAGCGAGCTCAGATCCTACCAAGAAGACAGCAGGTCAGGTGAGAGTGAAGTGGAGTTCTTGGCGGAGGTTCCAGTCAGAGGAGAAATGCTGGCTTTGCATCTCCTCAGAGCTGTGTATAACATAAACCCACAGGGCCTGGAGATCGGATCTTGAACCTGAGCTCCTGTGCACTTTTCTGGGCTGTGAACAGGAGAGTACTGTGGGGTAGAAGGAAAAGAGCAGCAGGGATGTGTTGTCCCAGGAAGATGAATTCCATGTTCACACTCAAGTGAGGCTGAGGGTGGAAGTCATCCCTCGCTACCTCCTTCCTGCTGAGACACCACGCAGTGCCCCAGGAGGACCGTGCTCACCCCCACGGGACTCACCATCACACTTGAGTCCTTGGCGTGCCAGCCCCCATAGCAGGGTCCCGCAGTGCTCGCAGAAGGTTGGGCTCTTGTAATTGTAGACTTTAAACCTGTGCGGCATGTCTATCTTGAATCTCTCCTTGTGGAACTGGAGGAAAGGCAAAAGGTGTGATTACACGCATGTCCTTGGGACCCAGGTTTTGATGTTCTCAGAGATACTTTAGCTTAGCAGGAACTGTAATATGAACATAGGCACTATGTGGCTTTTGGCCTTCGCTGGTACTTGTCAGGCCTTCCTGTCTTGTTTGAAGATGGCGGAGAGCTCGTGGCTCTTCCAGGTAAGGCTGAGCTGGATGTTGGCACATGCAGAGCACACAGAGACCTTCAGCAGACATCTAACGCATCAGACAGACAGGTGAGCATTGCAGGAAGAGAGGATGAGGTTATTTATCTAATGGGTGCTAAGGAAGCGCTGCTTTTGTTTAAACAGATGAAACTGTCCTTCCTGCTTTAGTATAAATATTTCCTTTTCTCTTTTAGCCCAGAACTAGTGCTCAACCTTTGGAAGGATACTAAAAATGCCTCTTGTAGAAGATGAAATTAAGATGAAAGCCTACTAGTAGCGTGAAGCATTTTCACACCCTTATTCATGAACGCATAGAGGTGCCAAGAGACAGGTAAGAGTTCCTTCCATGAACACAGGACAAGTATGTCATATGTGTCACCTGGTACATGTGTGGTCTCTCATGAAAGCCTCAGAACACCCCACTCAAAGGAGCCTCTGTTACTGCCCTCACTTGAGAGGTGAGAGAATCAGGCACAGAAAGGGCAAGAAATCTGCCCAAAGATCACATTGCCATTGAGTCTGGATAGCAAGGAGCTTGGCAGTCAGAATCAGAGCCCCACCATTCTATTTTCAGTCTCCAGAGAAATGTAATTTAAGGAGAGAGGTGGGATGGAGAGAGAGGCATGTGGCAGATTTATTGCAAGATTTTTAAAAGTTTCCCAGGTTTAAATTCCCTCCTCCAATCAAGGTTATTGCCTGAACAATAACAGCAACAAAATAACAACAACAGCATCAACACAGCAATAGCACAACTTCATTCCTGGTAAGGATGCCAATATCCATGTGCAGCACAAACAGTTTTATTGCCAGGGAGGTAGCTCAGTGGCACTGCGCCTGCCTGGCAAGCGCAAGGTCCTGAGTTTGATTTCCACTACAAAAATAAATAAATAAATAAACAAATAATTTTATTTACTTAAGACTTATAATCACTTCAGAGGTTTCTAATTAAACCATTTGCTTGAGGACTTGAACAGCAAAGAAGCCTTATTTGCTAACATAGTGATAGATCCTGTTGCCCCTGTGGTTGACGTCAGCATTGGTTCCACCGAAGAGCTATTTAGAATTATTTAAAAGTTGCTGAGAATCTACACTAGTCCTTTTCAATCACCGCCCCCCAAAAAATCCATCAATCTTTTTCAAAGTCCATTTCATGTCACAGAGTATGAACATGGTAATTAATAGGTCAAGGCCCCAGATAGAGGGAGTGCATCTCAATCTCTCAGACAGGCTCATACAGCTCAAGACAAGGTGATAAAGACTCTAGATGGGATCTTGCCAACAGGAAAGCAGAACATCTGCACAGGGTGGGTGAACACTGCAAACATGGGGAGCTGCCATTGGAATGTATGTTTAAAATACACACTGGATTTTGAAGACTTGGTAGGAAAAAATAGTGTCAAATTTCTTACTGAAATGATGATATTCAGACATACTGGGCTTGATAAAATACATGATTAAACTTAATTTCATATGTACCTTTTTCTTTTACTTAAAGTTGTTATTTAAAAGTTTAAAATTATACATGTAGTTCTCAGACTATTTCTACTGCAGTTTTAGGTGCATAAAATGATCTCCAAAATGATACCTTCTTGCATGAGCACAAAATGAATACATCCCCAGAGAGCACAGTATCATCCACACAGACACTTATTCTTTTAACTACTGATTCCTGATAGTTTACCTTGTGCCACCGCTTTTGTTGTCCAGAGGTTAACAGTGATTGCTTACAGCTCAGGATTTTTCAGAAAAGCTGACAGCATCACGTAAAGGGAGAAGCACTGGAGACAGCAGTTTGGTACAAACAAACAAAAACTCCGGAAGACAGCTGTCTGAGTTTTAGTCTCAGGTTTGCTACCCATAGGTGACTCACTATATAGAAACTGCTTTAACCGCGTTGAGCCAGACCAGAATCACTGGGTACTATGAGATTAGGCTCCTATAGCTCTAAATTTTAAAGGATGCTCTTTTTATGTTTTCTTTCTTTCTTTCTTTCTTTCTTTCTTTCTTTCTTTCTTTCTTTCTTTCTTTCTTTCTTTCTTTTTCTTTTTTTTTTTCTTCAAGTACTGGAAGGTGAATCGAGGACCTTTGTGTTGAGTTGCAGCCTCAACTTTTTTTTAAAAAAATTTTTTTACATTTTTGAGACAGAGTCTTGCCAAGTCATTAAGTTGCCCGGGCTGGGCTTGAATTTGTAAACCACCTGCCTCAGCTTCCTGGAGTGCTGGGATTACAGGTATGGACATTCTACCTGGAAAAATTCAACCAATTTGCCTTCTCTACCTGCCTCTTTGTCAGAGAAATTCACACGTCTGGGCAGGGTGGCCCTGCCAAACTCAAGTGGACTTTCACCTCTGCTCTGCCATCCTCCCCTCTTTCTCATCTCTTGATACTTTCTTCAAAGCCATTGCTGCCTTCTCTGCTTCCCTCTCCCGGTGTGCGGACTCCATCGAGGATAAAAACTAGCTAAAAGGAGCTTCCTCACTGCCCTCTAACAAGGCTGAGAAGGCAGATTGTAAGTTTGAGCCCAGCCTGGGCAACTCAGCAACTTAATGAGACCCTGTCTCAAAATAAAAAGTACAGGGAACCTGGCTCGGTGTAAAGGCCCCCGGTTCAGTCCCCATTATTGCATAAAAAAACCTCCATTGGTTCCCATGTTGCCTTATGCCTTTCCTGTTAGAGCTGATGATGTGTCACTCTGTCTAAAACCAGTCTCCGCAGAAGCTGAGACCCCTCTCCCTCCTGCCAGCAGACTTGCTGGCTTTGCTTGGCCATCGTTCTCCAGCTTCATCCATCTCTCCTGGCGTGGTGGTGTCTCCCATATCTTTGTGAACCCCTCCTTCCAGTTACCAGTTCCCTTTGGTGATCTTCTTGATAACAGAAAGTCAGTGCACAGCTTGTTTCCGTGCCATTTGCTGTCACCTTCACGATGGTCCAGCTGCACTAATCAGTCCCCAAACCTCCCAAATGCCCTCTGATCCAAGGGATGCAAACATCTCCACGTGATCCTTGTTTTCCTCAGCCTTTCAGCAGCATGAAACACAACTTGCCCCTTTCCTTTCTAGCTCTATAACCTCATACGCGTCCAGTGTAGAAAGCTCTCTTCAAACCTGGGTTCTCGACTTTCTCTTCCCTACCTAACATCTGATTTTAGGTCCCTTTGCATTTAGTCCTGAGTTCTCTTCTTTCTTGATTCCTTTCCTAGGGGATCTCTTCGACAGCTTTCAAGCTCACTTGTGTAATACCACCTCCCTCAGACTTGTAGGACTGGTGCACTGGCTCATGTGAGTCCCAAGCTCAAAACTGTCCATGGATGCTTCCACTTAGCTGTCCCTTGCTTCTCAGACAGGACTGTCGTGGGAGTCACCCTCACAGCCCTCTCTTTCATTCTCCACACCTATTCCTTTAAAACAACCCAACCATTTCTAAAATAGAAATTATTTGAAAGTCTGCTGACTTTGTTCTATCTCTGCTGTCACCATATGATGCAAACAACCTCCTTCTCTCCTGGTATGATTCCTCCAGGGGCCTCTGGCTTTACTCTCACATCTTCAGACACTATTTCTCCTATAGCATCAGAAGAAGAGCTTGTTACTGTGAGTCTCGTAAAGACCAATCACTTTCTCAGGGTTTGAAGGATCCCCACATGATTTAAATCCTGCCAGATTCTTCAACTTGTGTCCCCTTTGCTCTGGGCCTTGTGGATCTACTGTACTGGTCTCAGTAGTTACTGGAATGGGCTGGACTTTCCCTCTCCAGGGCCATCCATTAATGTCAAGCCTTCTTCCTCCTGCTGGTTACACCTGGCTCCTTTCACCTTCAGGTCTCAGTTCAAATGCTCCCTTCCTTAGGGAGACGCTCTGACCATGTGGTCTCCTTAGGCTACCTGCTGATTTTCCACCCTTGCACCCTGTTTGCTCTCTTTATAGCGCCTGACATTAATCAAAATGACCACAGTTGGTTTACTGTATATTTCTCCAATTTTGTAGATGAAGGCAAGACTGTGTCTGTTCTGCGCTGTGCCGTACATCTGACACAGCACGCTACTGCCATGAATTAGACATCTAAGAAATGTCTGTTACATGAAGAAGAGGGTGGGAGGAGGAAGAAAAAATAGTTTATAATGACAGGCTGCTGGACTTTCATCTAAGATTCCCTTCTCCATGAAGTCAAACCTAGCCTATTTGTAGACTAAGTGTCTAAATTCATTCTGAATCAAATATTTCCACTCAAGAGGAGGACTATCCTTTTGCTACCCTCTCTTACTGACCTTGTACATGTTTACATCTCCATACTTCATAATCACTTGCCTTTATTCACTCTGTCATGGTCACTTCCAGCTGTATGCACCACAAGGCTTGGTGTCATCTACTTAGCCATGTTATGCTTTATGGTCACTTTTTGTTACACTTTTTTTCTGGAAAAGTTCTTACTGTGCTTATTTGTCTCCTAGATCTGGTAGCTCAACAAAAAGTTTTGAAAAGGAAAGGATTTTAATGAGGTCTCATATTCATGGATAGGCTTAAGGATTCAAGTTCAGGCAGGTATTATGACAAAGAACTAGTGGGCTATAAAATTCAGTATCAGGATAAAATCATTGTACGTCAAAGAGAAGATTCTCTGTGCAGTACATACATACCATGGTTTCTCGGCTATTGATAGCTGATCCAGTGCACTTAGCTATGACTTTATCGATACACTTCTTGTGAATTGCCGCATTACATTCTGAAAACAAACAATTGTGACTTAAGATTTCTAGAAGTTAAGGTGAAATTAAGTTTAAAAAAGTGACAATACAACAGGAAATCTTTGTACTTACGTCGACACTGGTAGCCCTGTTTGTTCAGACCCCTGGAACAAAGCATATGACTGATTTATTTGGATGTTCAAGTCAACATCAGAAACTATTTTATTTTATTTTATTTGGTACCAGGAATCAAACTCAGGACCTTGTGCTCACCAGGCAGGTGCTTGTGCCACTGAGCTATATCCCCTGCCCAAGAAACCATTTTAGAGATGAGACAGATCTCATGGCTTCCTAAAGTCACAGGACATTTTTGCCAGTTAGCAGCCCCAATGTATCATTTGTCAAGACTGTATTTTAAATTTAAGCTAGTTTAGTAAGAGTCTCAGAATTAAATAAATGAAGAACTATTGATTTCCCTTTTCATGTTTCTATTTTCCAAGTAAACACAGAGATTACAATGCCTAAACAACAGGCATCACAGGCTCCTGGCAGCAAAGTTTCATGTCTTATAATTAAAAAAAATCATTGTCTCATTTGAAAGTTTATTGTCTCACTCATCTACTGTCTTTGTTTATATGTAGATGAACAGA